AGCACTCAACCGATACTTTTCCCATTTAGAAGAGGAATATTAGAAGTGACTATAATATTTTAATGAGAACACATTCAATATTCATTTTGTTTAATTATTTATTATTATTATTTTATTTGAACACATAAATATTGGTACAAAAGGGTACCAGATAAATATGCGCCTCACAAATTTCATTTAATTTGTGTGAGGGCTGTGATACTGCCCAGGTGCAAAAACCGAAACAGGTGGTTTTCTTAGGGGGCCACACTCGGAGTCTTTGACCTAAAGATCTGATTCACAAGGTAGTAGAGCATCGTGAGGAGATGTAGTCCCATGGCAGCCCGTGACCAACGATTGGTTCATACTCCGTTTGTTCCATCAGGATACTGGAGCCCGTATGCACCATTGGTTTGTAATCAGGATTTTCCAACTTCCCTAGGTGAACCCTCCATGTCCACCAACCCGGTTAAAGTGCCGGACAATTTTGTTTAATTACACAGATTTAATCTATGAATGCATCAGTCAATTCATAATTATTACGTGTTACACCTAGATAAAATAACACCAAGGTTATTCATGAATTGTATAGATTACATAGAAGATGAATATATCATTTTTTGTATGACAATAAGAATTGATTATTCGGGTAAATTGACAAAGTTTCTATGTTATATTATTCTAAGCTGATTATTATTGTTACTATCGTTTTATATTAGAAATCAATACTTTTATACATGTTCAATATTCTATATTTTATTACCTGTTAATGTCATAATTATCATATGATTATCGATTAAGTGTTTAGTTGATTATATCTTTCTATCTCTCTTTCTCTATGTATATATGGGTGTACATCTTTGTACTTGTATATGTGTTGTAAAATACAAACGGCCTATAAACAATATACTACTTGTTTATACATGCATACAAAGTTATTGTAATCTATATAATACTAAACAGCAATTTTTGTGAATTCAATCTTAATTTCACTGTTTATTTGATGAAAGATCTGGGGGGGGGGGAGAAAAGTGTTTCCTTTTATGTTCATTCTAAGTGTAATTGTTGTTATTCTCTTATTAATTAGTTATAACATACATGAATGAACTGAATATAAACTTATTTGATTAAAGGTTATTAATAAATCTTAATAATTTAGAAGGGGATTTGTGGAGATTTCAGTATTTTTCAAAGTTGAAATCATGAGTCGATCCAAGCTAGACCACCATCGGAAACCTGGAAGCACTGGACGGCCGTTTCGTCCTACTATGGGACTCCTCAGCAGTGCGCATCCACGAACCCACTCTCGCGGGATTCGAACCCAGGACCTACCAGTTTCGAGCCGAAGCCCTTAACCGATAGATCACTGAGCTGGCATTCAACGTTATGAGATATCAACTCACTGAAGACAATTGGTGAATGGTTGCTCAACTTCGTGGATCAGTTGAAGTTAGGCATTAACACCGTTGGATGCCAGCCATCTCAGTGGTCTATCGGTTAAGGGCTTCGGCTCGAAACTGGTAGGTCCTGGATTCGAATCCCGCGAGAGTGTGTTCGTGGATGCGCACTGCTGAGGAGTCCCATAGTAGGACGAAACGGCCGTCCAGTGCTTCCAGGTTTTCGATGGTGGTCTAGCTTGGATCGACTCATGATTTCAACTTTGAAAAATCTTAATAACTTTAATGTAATTATCACTGATACTTCTATTTGTTCCATCATTACTACATACTTCATTCTCTTTTATTCTACTTCTAAATAATATTTTTCTTTCAAATAAATTAAAAATACAATTTTGGAAAGCCGATCACTTATTGCCTTATTAATTACATTGGTAATATGATAAGCTTTGATTACTTCTAATTATTAACACTGACATGTAGATATATAGACATTGTCTTCTCCTTATCTCCCCCTGTCCCCTCCCCACCTCGCTTGTACCTTAGCTAATTTATCAGAATTGAAAATTGATAGTACTGTGACTAGAACATTTCTGTTTGAATCGCCATCAACATTACTTACTTACGCCTCTTACCCCTCGTGGAGAAGCACAGGCCGCATACCAGCACTCTCCATCCAACCCTGTCCTGGGCAATCCTTTCTAGTTCTTTCCAGTTGTTATTCATCTTCTTCATATCTGCTTTAATCTCCCGGCGTAATGTGTTCTTTGGCCTTCCTTTTTTCCGCTTCCCTTCCGAATTCCAAGTTAGGGCTTGCCTCGTGATACAGTTTGGTGATTTCACAATTGATTGATAACTGGGTGGTGATCAATGTCATGCGTGTCAAGTCCTTCTTAGTGCTGATCGAATGCTGTCGATCGAGTTGCAATATGGCCATCAGTCTAGGTGGCTCGACAGTGCGTGAACTATATATATTAAGGTAAGATGGTGGTTGGAGGTGGTCAACAGGAAACCTTGGACCCGGGTTTCGTGCTACTTGGCACTCGTCAGCAAGGTGTACCTGTAATCTTGAGGGAACTGGTGCTCCCTGACGGATTCGATCCCGTGTCACTCAACTCCACAGTCAGAGACGTTACCACTTAGCTATTCGGGCCGCGATTGGTGATTTCTTTAATGTATGTTTGTCGTCTCCCACAGAAGGCTGTTGCTGATGGTATTCCGGCCAGTGAATGTTGAGTATTTTGCGTAGACAACTGTTTATAAATACTTGTACCTTCTTGACGATGGTAGTAGTAGTAGTTCTCCACGTTTCAGCTCCGTGCAGTAGGACTGTCTTGACGTTTGTATTGAAAATTCTCACTTTGAAGCTAGTTGACAGTTGTTTTGAGTACCATGTGATTTCATTAATCGAGGAGTAACTAACTTTCCTTGTATATAGATGTTTCCTAAAATTTCGTGTGTGTGTATTATATATATATATATATCCCATACTAGGACAAAACAGCTGTGCAGTTCTCCCAAATTTTCAATGGTTGTCGAACATTGATCGCTTCATGATCCCAATCAAACTTATACTTATAACGTTAAATCTTGTTTATAGAATGGAATTATTGTATATGCACTACAGAAAAAAGGAAATTATTATCATATACAATAAAACATAATCCTTTTTTTCTCTATAAAGCCAAAATTTCCTTTTGTATCGTTCATAATCAGTGAAAATTTCTTTGTTTTAATTCTATCCTAATTTTATTTTTCATTACACATTTTATTGATCATTATTCCTTACATTATTCTTCAGTTCATTCGTTCATATCATCGATCACGTATTCCTCGTTATACAACACCAATTCATCATAGATACAGGTTGTTAATTAAATAATTCATTAATAATTATATATTATCACAATAATATATCTATATATATAATTATTTCAAATTGTATCATAGTGATTATTGTTATCATTTAATTATTTAGTCTTTTGTTTTATACTACTTACAAGTAGATAGACTGTATTAATCATAATCAAGCATTACTAATTAATATCTACTGATAATATTTTATTCTTTACATATGCATGTTTTATCAAATTTCTATTTATTGTTTTCCACTATTATTTTAAATGTTCTATTTCTAATGAACATGTTATTAGTTTTATTATTATAAAAATGAATCAACGTGTAGTTCTATAACACACATTGATTATTATTTTTCTAATTTGAAATTTAGTATGATAATTTTCATTTGTAGTTCTCTTAATTTTATTTTCAAACAATTATAAAGAGTTCAAACATTCAACTATTTCATACGATAAGTTTTCGGTTCAAATCCAGATCCATTGATTTCACATCGGGAAATTGAATTAGTATGACTATTCTTTTCATTAAAAAATATCACTCAAAATTGAGTGTATAATTATCTACAGTTGATGCCTAACCTATATGAATTCTTTTGTTTGAAAAAAAAAAGATCCACTAAGGATTATCATTTGGCAGCTTAACTTATTCATCAGTCACTGTGATGACATTGATCTATTCATCTTATTCTTCTGCTCTAGACATTGAATTTATATATTAAGCTTTATGTGGTGCAGAATTTTCACTAAATTTTAATCGAATTAGGCTAAAAGAATGTCGTATGTTTTTATCCTTAGTTCAGGTTTTCAAGTTCAGCGGATAACCTGATGAATATTAATCTTATATCGTATAATTAATAGTCGGTTTGAAACAGAAATCTGCATTTATCTAATAACGTAACTTTAATCACATGAATATTACATCAGGCATTATCTACTGTCCTATTGATATCTCAGTATTGACATTGACCATCTGCCCAATTAATGTAAATTAGTTTGATCACTTCCTCTATATCCGATTCAAATTTTGTTTCGGTGGTAAATGTGATTCTTCTTTTATAATTTGAGGTTTGTATTTGTATTATTTATTCGTTACATAAATAAGTTTGTATATGTCAGGTCAAAATCCCTAGAATTTTAAGGTTTCACAACGAAAAAATTGTTAAAACTCTGTCTCATGATTTACACCATGAACGGAACTTGGTTATTAAAGTTAAGGAAGCAATAGATGGCTATTTTGTATGAGATTCCTAAGCAGTGGCCATCCACTATATAATCGGCGGTCTAACCCAAATGAATGAAGTCTTGCAGTGATCGCTCAACCCTTTAAACATCACTATATCAGTAAAGAATGGTCTACATCTTCCATTCTTATTAGTGGCCAATTGCGTCATAGCCATACCAGGGACAGAATAGCTATCCATTGCTTCCTGCTTTTCAGTCTTTATCGTATTAAAGTAAGTTAGTTCATGATGTAAACTATAAAGAGCAATAATTTCCACAAAACCTTTTACATTAATAAAATGCTTCGGCTAGATTGTCTTTAAATCAAGTTTATTTAGATCGGCACTACCATAATCACACCAATTAATTACACTTCCGGTTAGAATTAGAGGTTGATAATAATTAGTTACTCTCATCTTTTTATGTTAGTCACTACCAAACTGTTAATTGGCGCATGGTATTAACAGTTGGACATTCATATTAATATGGGATTATTATGTGCCTTTTTTCTCACATATTCTTTTCCTTTCTTTAATTACTTCAGCTCCAGAGTCGACTATACTCGTATGAAGACAAAATGAAGGTGAGTTAGAAAAAAACTCCTATCCACAAATCATATTATCTTACCCTTAACTTTATTGATAGTGGTCGTTTATTTTGTCTTCCTTTGTTGGTGTCTAAAATTAATGTACTATATATCGTATTCAACTATCTTACCTCGAACCACCTTTAATGATAAAGAAATCTTTAAACAACAATTCATGACACCCTTTCAATTGATAAGTGAAGCCTTATTCACAAAACAGTCAGTTACTCGTCAATGATGCAGATCATTATCTAAGCTCTGCATTTTGTTGCATTAATAATTTTACATGTACAAGGAGAAAAAAAATTCATGGTAAAATATATTTGTTGAGATCATGAACGGATCTAAAAATTAGACAACCAATTAACTCTTTACAACTTCACATTCAACCAGTTTTTGAATACTTCAATGTGACTACAATCATTTACTAAATAGAATTGACAAATTATAAAATAAGGACATATCTATCAATCAGATAATAAGTTGTACTTAAAGTCAGAAGGGCTTTTGTTGAGATTTTAGTAATTTTATATAGTTGAAATCATGAGTCAATTGAAGCTGGATCACCATGGAAAACCTGGAAGCACTGGATGACCGTTTCGTTCTATTGTGGGACTCAGCAATGGTCATCCACGATCCCGCCTTGCGAGATCCGAACCCAGGATCTACCAGTCTCGCGCCAGAGCATTTGAACTCCTGATTATAATCATATGCTCACTAGTAACTGACTTCAAGAGATATTTCCTGGAGTTCTAGCGGGAAGCAGTGACCAGTGGAGTTCAACCACGTCTGTTGTGTGATATCAACTCACTGAAGACAATTGGTAAACGATTGTTCAAACTTTGTGGATTGGTTGAAGTTAGACACTAACACCGTTAGATGCCGGCTCAGTGGTCTATCGGTTTAGTGCTCTGGCAGTACTTGAAATTTCCTATATGAATAAAAGTATTGATTTGTTCTTTAAGTTTTGATAGTCAAGAATAATACAAAAGATGTACTTTATTAAGCATTTATTTTAATCTTCAAAGAAATTATATAATCATTTTAGTTCATTGTGATATTATCATTGTTTAAACTTGTATAACTCATAGCTTCACATATTCTCATTGACTGTTCAATGAAGACTGATAAGTCGTGGGTTCGGATCTCGCTAGGCGGGATTGTGGATGCGCATTGCTAGCGAGTCCCACAATAGGATGAAACGGCCTTCCAGTGCTTCTAGGTTTTCCATAATGGTCTAGCTTCAATTGACTCATGATTTCAATTATACTTAAAGATGATTACCGTAAAAATTTCATTTTTGTTGTTGTTGAATATTTGCGATATGTATCTTTTACTTTTCTATAGGAAATTGTTCGTTTACGTGAAGAAATTTCTAAAATGAAAGAAGAGAATGGTGCATTAATTCGTGTAATCAGTAAACTTTCAAAACCGATATAATCAATAAGATTTTTTGTTGTTTGTTTTCTCCCCCCCCCCTTTTTTTTCTTATTCTTTCATTTAATTTTTTTTTGTGTGGTTTGATTCAATGTTTATACATAATTGTATGAATCTCTTTATTGGTTTGTGTCAAGATTATTTTTTTTTTAAAGAACAAAATTCATTTCACCTACATACCTTTTTTTTGTTTCTTGGTAACAGAAATTTATCCGTTTTCCCTCTTTATTTTGTTTAAATGAATGGAATTTGCATTGTACGTATATGCTGTATGTATGTATGTACCTATGGGGAAAGAAGTATGTTCCAATTATAGTTAAGAAATGTCTATGTTAAGCAACACTATACAATTCACTTCATACTTGATAGTATAGTTAATCATAAACATAGAGGGATATATGATTATTTAAGTCTAGAAATGTCTATGGTCATACATATATATGTATGCTTATATTCATGTCAAGCTTTCAATATGAACTATACCATGATCATTATTCGAAGGGGGGGGGTACTTTTAATGGCTGATTCAACACTTCTTTTTAAAATTATACATATATATATATACACACGTATATATCATCTATTTCCTCTTATTAGTACGACCACGACCACTATTTACTACCAATGAGAATTTCTGGAGATGATTATCTATTATATTGGTCAGTGAAATGTTCTGAATAAGATCATGTCTTTTTTTTTCATTTCTATAAACTACCTGCTAAGTGTGTGTAACTATGCTAATGATGGAATATGTGCACACTTCTACAAATATATTATCATTATTACTTTATCCATATTTCTTAATCTATGCGCCAATCATTCAAACGTTTCTTTAATGTGTTCATACCATTGTTGTAATATAGTAGTAGAAATGAAAATCAAAGAATTAGCATCATTATTTACAATGATGATGTTGACAATGACTGGTAAAACTTATTTTTATATTTCAAAACAACGAAACTGTTATACTAAACGGATAAATATTTATGTATGTTTATTTATGTTAGATTAAATCAAGTATCCATCTATTTGTGTATTATGGTGCGATTGATGCTACAGTTACTACTGGTAGTAGTATGCTTGTATTGGTTATATTTAGAAAAAAGGAAATAGACTAATCAAGATTACACTATTCAATTTTTTTTTCTTATATTTCAAATGATATGTGTAGATTAGATCTTGCTTACAATTGTTTTTTTTCTCTCTTGAATTTCCTTGTTGTTATTTCTTTCAATTTATGTGCACTCAACTACCTAATAAATGAATGAGTTAACTGTTTATATTAGCTAACCAATAGCTAATCTTTGTTCAATTTTTGTGTGTGTGTGTGTTCAGTATTCTATCTTTATCCATCTATTTGTTAATATTTAATTATTTTGAACATATGCTTTTCACACACACACCCCTCCATCTCTCTCTTGTATTTGTTGACAAACCTCCCCTTCCCCTATGTGTCTTTATAACATACACCACCACTAAAGTGCCTATGCCAAGCTCCATTTGTCAATAACAATAATGATACTGTGAACAAAAAAAAAGGATTCAGAATATTCTTCTTTTTTTTCATTCATTTTACATTTGATCAGACTTTATCTGATCATTCTTTTTCGTTACATTGATACTGCATTATTTATTTGCTTATTATTATTATTACTACTACCACCAATACAATTTGTCCGTATTGATTGTTTGCTTTCGAAAATAAGGCATATATATATGGAATGTGACAACTTACTACTTATTTATCACCATTTTAGTAGTATTATTATCTATGATTATTTACCTTATTTTTTACATTTGTGTACATAATAACCATTTTTCTTTTTTTTGTTTATATCCCTTCCTGTTGAGTATAACAAAAAAAAACAGTGAGGGAATAGTACACATCTAGAAAGATAGTAACAGAAAGAAGTTGGCATGTATGTGACAATGATAATTTGTGTTATTTAAGAACAATATGTGGCTTATTAAAAGTATTTTGTGTATATTCTAGTCCATCATCATATACACATCACTTTACATATGTACATATTATAAATTTAACGTACATACACACATAAAATATTGAGTTCTGATGTACTGACCCTTTTGTTTTTGTATCTTAAGTGACAAAGTAACTCATGGACTAAACCACGTACACTAGTTGAATTAATCCAATAGACAAGTAGTCAGTAATTTCATTTACAAGTATCAAATTTTTATATAACCATCCAGGACGCGCGTTTCGTCCTGGATTCCGCTGCTAGTCACTATCCATCTTTCTTATAAAGCTTGTGACTTCAGGCAATATCGAGGCAGTCCGCACAGAATGCACATATACCAACAAGAGACTGATCAATTGCTGTTCTAAATAACAATGGGGAGATACAAGTATACAATACCAAGTGAATATAACAGGTGGCTATCAGGACTCAGTAGCTAAGTCGATAACGCGATGGCGTTTGAAGCGAAAGGTACTGGGTTCGAGTCACAGAGTGGACATAAACTCTGAGATGCAGGTACATCCAGCTAACGAGTCCCAAATAGAACGAAACACGCGTCAAACTGGATTCCACTGCTAGCCACATTTTTAGCTTTGTCCTAATCTAGTATTATGCCAGCAAACATCCCATATCTTGGTAGACGGCTGTTGCGTTCCAACTGATAACCTCATTAACTGATTTACTAGCCTGCATCTAAACTTAACACTGCTCGCCAAATTGTCCTAGCGAACCTGGAGAAAACTATTATCTAATACAACCAACATGCACATGCTCCCTAATTTTAAATGCTATATTTAATAAGAGCGAAGTGCGGCTCCATATACTAGCCTGAGACAAACGTTTAGCCTACGACGCATGTTGGTAAAAGGTGAAGTGGGTTTTTTAAATCCGTACCGAGTTCCTGTTAGTCGTCAACTTATGAGAGCTGATAAAACTTATAAGTGAAGTGGTATGCGTTTAACTACTTCAATTTCTACTGCTGGTTCCAACGCTGACAGAGACCAGTGCTGAAGCAGCATTTCGCATTTAGAGAGACGTATTTGTTGTGGGGCTGTTATCTTATTTATGTACTTCGTAGACAAATTAACTTAATCACCGTTATTGCGATAATTACCAAATATATAACAGATTCGGAAGTCAGAGAACGAAGCTTATTTCGAATGATGTATTTCTAGAAAACAGCTAAGTCGGTGTCTGTTAAGATCATTGAGAACACGCAAGAACTATCCAGTTATTCAAACCTTGTTTAGGACTCCTAAGCGCTGATTAGGCAGCATTTCGCACTGGATAGAACTTTTAGGTTTTATAACAAGCACAGTATCAATGGAACTATCGACTAGGAAAATTGTACAGCACTTTTTTATACTAGTGTGTGCATTGCTGAGAAATAATAAACAATGACAACCTTTAATAGTATTTAATGATTCTTAGACTGATGACGGCAACTTATGAGTACTACTATCTAAGAACCACCAGGTATGTTGTCAATGAAATAACACTAGGTCTTACCTAAATCACTCATCAAGGTGGATTGTTTCTACATTAGAGGACTGATCGTCAGACGCTGAGCTGTCTAGAATAATCAACGCGGTTTGATCGATTGCATACTATGGGTCGGGTCATATGGCAGTATGTCTGTACTATGTACTCTCTAATCTATTCAATGTAACAAACCACTTTGATGATATTCCATTTGTTCCGTACAACTGCCTCGTCACCATGAACAGGCATTATTCGCGTATGACCGATGTAAGTTACGTAGTCATGTGCTTCCCAATCAAAGCGAGTTGATCTACTATCCACAAACAATGCAAATGTTAGTAGATTAGACAAACAAGAAAGAGAAAGATTGCAAAAGCTGTAAGCAACAAGAAATAAAAGGGATAAATTGTATATTTATAATAGTAGTATAAGCATTGTATAGTTCAAACTATTAGTAACAAATACAAGATAACTCAGTTGCATGATATACTCCATTTCGATTAATTAACATTTTATTAGAATAAAGGAATTATAAATATGTACATTAAAATATCGAAATGAATATGTATATATACTACTGAAAAATACTCAATTTAACTTCAATGACATAAGCCTCATATGTACATGTTACAATCATAGTTCATTTGAAATAATAAAATATGTATTTCGGTAATTCAGCAACAAGTTACTGTGGGAAACAACAAAACAGATTCCAGCGGAGGAAGAAGCGCTGGAAGTGGATTAGGCACACTTTGAGGAAATCACCCAATTGCGTCACAAGATAATCCGTCACATCGAATCCTGAAGTCCAAAGAAAACATTATGCCGTGAAATAGAGACAGACATGAGAAGAATGAACAAAAAATGGATAGAACTAGTAAAGAATGCCCAAAATAGAGTGGGTTGGAGAAAGCTAGTCGGCGGCCTATGCTTCATTGAGAGTAACAGTCGTAAGTAAGTAAGTAAGCATTTCGATAATGTAATAATAAGAAGACGAAGATTATCAGAAGACATATGTGATGATAATATTAGCGTAATACATTTCGAACAATCTGATGATATATAATATACTTGTTAAGAATATTTATATATATTAAAAAAAATAATAAAATGTCAACTAGACTGGAAATAGGGGAGGGGGAGACAAGGATAATATGAAAACAATTTGACACCTAATAACTCTAGATAATGAGCTAATATTAATTCAGGGTAGGTTTAAGGTTTATTACTTATTTATAATAACCATTCTTCTAATAAATATTTTACATGAGAATTTAATAAATTTTCTAATTTCTTATCTAAATTCTTTAAAAAATTCACTTTTGATTTATTATTATTAATTAAATGACAAGAATATGGAAGTATTATGGTAGTATTATGAATATTGTTACTATAGTGATGGTCTCTATTACTTTTAAAAAAATCACATTCTATATCATATAATAATTTAAATAATATAAGTTTTGTTATATTAATAGAACATTGTTTTATTAAACTAATTGGTCGATTAAAATGATAACATTCTAATGGTTTTTGTAATGCTTCTTGAGAAGCTCCACCAATTACATATACTAATCCATTTAAACCAAGTGTTATAGTATGCCAATGACGATGTATAGGTTTATTTAATATTTCCATTGTTATTGATGATGATGGAAATAATTCATCTAAAGTATTTAAAATATAAGGTGCATGTACAATATCAATAAAGAATTTTGATCGATTTTGATACCATATTAATGTTGATATAATAGTTTGTTGTATATATTGTGTTAAATGATCAATATTGTTTTGATAATAATTTACTGGATTATGTATATGATTTGGTGTAATCCATAATAATAATTTATTAGGAATTAATGAATCATATAAATATAAACGATGAATAGATGATGGTGATAATGAAGAATTTTGAGAACGCCTTTTTTGAGTCATATTTAATTGTGATATTAATTTATGTATTAACTCTAAACTATATTCATTTGTTAACCAACTATTTTGTTCTTGTAATATCATTTGAATTATTTGCCAAGGTAACATAAATTTTAAAAACATACCTATTAATATAGAAAAAATTGAATTTTGAATAGGTTCTAAATTTAACTGATAATTTTCACATATATTATTCAAATCTTCAATAAATTGATTATTTCTAGTGATTGTATCAGTGGTAGTAGTGGAGTTCATCTTTGAATTTTTATCCTTTTGATTAGTAATATTATATAAACAATAATTTTCATTTAAATATTGTATAAAAATAGTATGTAATAAAGCAATACGATATAATGATTCATTAGGATTTATACATTTCTCAGATTGATAATTATTATCAATTATAAAAGATGAATTTTGATACATATATAAATGATAATTAAAATCATGTAAAAATATTTTTACATTATTATTTTTACTACTAACAAGTTTATGAGTAGTATAATGTTTATTATTAAATAACTCATGAATCTCAATAGAAGGAATTGAATAATAGTATTCAATTAAATCTATATATAATTGTTCATTATATAATATTTCACCAAATGAATTAATATTTAAATACATATATTTTTGATGATCATATGGTTGATTTGAACATGTATAACCATCTATATGAATTGGTTTATTCAAATTCAATGATTGAATATAATAACCATTAGAATAATTCTCATTATGATTCATTATAATATTATTTGTTTCTTTAGTTGATTGAACAATCTCAGCATTTAATTGTTTATTTATATTAGATAAATTAATATTAATTAAATAAGAATCATTTAATGATTGTTCATTATTTGAATAACCGCCATGTAAAAATAATTGTGCTATATTTAATTGATTATTATTATTATTATTATTATTATTATTATTATTATTATTAGTAGTAGTAGTAGTAGCAGTAGTAGTAGTAGTAGTAGTAGTAGTAGTAGTAGTAGTAGTAGTAGTATGAGAATAATGAAAAGAAGAATCCATTTGTCTAGATAATGATTCATATAATACAACCATATTCATCCAAGATCTACCACATGGCCAAATAGTTGATGATGATAATGGTGATAATGGTTGTTTTTTAATTTGTGGTATATCTAATGGAGTTAATATTTTTGTCCATTCCATTAAATATAAATTTAAACAATACATATCATTTAATCTACCCATATGATAAGAATTAGTTGTATTATTATTATATGGACCACGACCACCAAATATAATTAACCAACCATGATTAGGTAATATAATAGAACAATGTGCTGCACGTGGTGTTGGAAATTTACCAATCACATTTAATTGTGTTATTAAATTCCATTGATTATTATAAATATCATAAATTAATAATTGATTATTCCATCCACCATTATGATCACATATAATCCAACTTTGTTTATCATTTGGATCATATAAATATGGCCAATGATAAAATTGATTTGGCCATGTTGTTGGATTAAATTGTGGACCATAACCACCAAATATATAAAGTTTACCATGCCAATATTCCATACAAAATTTATCACGTGGTGATGGTAAACTATTTATACAATTCTTTTTAAATTGAATATGAACTGGTTGATAATCATTTAATCGTCTTTGTAATGATTTTAACATGGTTAATTGAATACATTGATGTGTAGATATATCTTGTGGTGTACATGCTAAACAACTTAAAATACCATGTCCACTAATGACAGAAGCATGACAACAATGTGGTCTCAAACCGGTTGATGTTATCCTTTTCTTTAATTTTTTATCACCATCCTTCTCCTCCTCCTCCTCATCATCATCATCATCGTCAGTTATATATTTGGATAGATTAGTATGAGTTAATTCATATCGACATAATGCATTTAAATGAATATTACCTAGAAGTGAATAACCTCCAAATGTATAAATACAAGCCGGTTGTTTTTTATTATTTTTATCTAATAATTCTGGACATAGCACTGCACTATTACCAGATGTTAATAGAATGAATTCATTGAACATATGATTTTGTAATGATTTTATATCCCAATGTATAGGTAAACATTCTATATGATTTGTTAATATATCATATCGTGTTATACCCATTTGTTCAAATAGAACCATCTAAATGGTATTATGGTTATGAAAAGAGTAATAAAAAAAGGAACATTAATCAAATATGAGAAATCATTATTTAGTTCATACAAAATATGATAGAACTCTCTGATTAAAATAACGATAAACATCGTAAAACCAAATATCTTTATAGAGATATAGGGGCCTGGGATATTGACCAGGTCGCCAAACTAAATCAAGCTGCTAACGTAAAGCAGCATTTCCTGAGAGAATTTTATTCAAGAGTTTACTCTATACGGTAGGGTAACAAAGTCAGAAGGAGCAGTTTTATGTTAGCCGACGATAAAAGTAGGTTTATATGCCATAGGAAACCGGAACTCATGTTCACCATTATTTTTGAATCTAAGTTTTTTTGGCTCCAACAACCCTATTTAAGAGCTATACATTTGCTTTCTATCCTCTTATTTTTGTAAAAAAGAAAAGTACCACAGCCAGATGAAGACACTGAGACAGACTTCCCAAACAAAGGCTCTAAAGCCATGAGTATATGAGGGCACCTAGAGGAGAGAGAACTGTCCTCACACTGACCACAGACAATTATATTTTCTACTCGATAGATAAACATATATCCAAACTAAGATGGTATCCATTGCAAAATAAATAAAAGTAAATATGTACTAGTTGCCACGCACTATAAACCACATATGATGTAAATGACAAAACTCTACATTAACTGTTTCAACATAACTTAATGTACAGTTCAGTTGAGTCAGAAATTTTTAAACCATTGTGTATAATTTTCTACAAAGCAGAAGTAGATAATGAGATTAAAATAAAAGAAGACTGATCACTGAAAATAAAATCGCCGAATTACGCAACCGATCTATATGAAAAGTAATTTGAATGAAAACAATTTTAATATTTAACAGTACGATAAATGTGATGATAAAACTGAGCATCACCAAATAACTTGATAAGGTTTGTTGTACTTGCAAGTAATTGACTTGAACCACTGAACCGAATAAAATTATTTATATATTTAAACACGTATATATTGGTACAAAAGGACACCAGATACATATGCGCCACACAAAATAATGAAAGTAGGAAGAGAAGGGATGAGAAGATAAGGCGGACTGAAATGTACAACCAGAAAACTCTTTCAGTTAAGAAAGTTAGAACCATTCTTTATGTAGAAAGTAAAAGAAGGTTGCAGCAGGATCGCCACTGGCTTCTATTCTGAGCCATATCTGATAACGTCTCTAGCCACTGTGTTGCACCATCTCTCGGACTCCAGCCAGGGAGTCGTGAAGGACCAACAGAAGCTAGCCCTTCGCAGCTTTCTTTCATGCCACGACACCATATCATACACTGACCTCCTCTCCGCTTTTTCCAACCAGTCCCAGAGTCAGCAAATAATGCACGACGTGGAAGTCTCTGGGACGACATTCGTAAAACATGTCCAAGCCACCAAAGTCGGTGTTTCAAGATGGTGAAACCAATTGAATTATCGTCTCTGCGCCCGAACACACGATGCCGAACCTCTGCATTACTAACATGGTGTTGCCACTGTATGTCAGCAATCTTTCGGAGACAACGATGATCGAACACAGAGAGACGTCTAACATCCTCAACTCGGAGAGGCCAGGTTTCACAAGCATGGAGCAAAACTGCTCTCACCGACGTGTTGTAGATCCGACCTTTTACAGCCAGACTAACATCACGAAGGCGCCAAAGATGGCCCAGATTGGCATAAGCCGCTCTCGCTTTCATTATACGTGTATCAATCTCATCACTCACGCCACCACCAGCACTTATATAGCTGCCTAGATACACGAACTTCTTAACTACTTCAATCTGCTGACCATCCAGGGTGAGTGCAGGATGAGAATCCTGCCAGTCTTGTAGGAGTACTTTGCACTTGGAGAGTGCAAAGCACATGCCGTACCTGCGGACACTGATTGCCAACTGATTAAGTGCTGATTGCATGCCTTGGGCATTATCGCACAGTAAGACAATATCATCCGCATACTCGAGGTCGAGAAGTCGTTCTCCAGGCAACATATCCACACCGCCATTACTTACATCCATCAGAGCTGTCTCCCGGATGTCATCGATGGCAAAGTTGAAGAGGAATGGTGAAATCGGGCAACCCTGCCTAAACCCACTGCTCGAATGAAACAAGGGAGAAAGGTGGTTGTATGCCCTCACTCTGCCTGGGGTGTTCGTATACAGGGCCTTTAAGATGTTAATGAACTTCTCCGGCACACCCTTCTTCAATAGACAATCCCAGAGAACAGTCCTGTCCAGAGTTGGACGAGAGTTGGAGTTCCTTGCGGACTTCCGCTTCGTTTGGTGGATCAGTCGTCACCGGCCATGGGGGGCAGGACAAACTGGTTGATGCTGCCGGATCAGCAGGCCAGTTGAGCTGCCCTTCGAAAAATTCCGCCCATCGTCCAAGACGTCGAGAGATGTTAGTGATTGGCATCCCATCATCCTCGTAGATTGTTTCACTCACACCAGACTTCTTACTGCCAGTGGCTCGGATGAGTTGGAAGAGCTTCCGGCAGTTACCAGACGCAGCTGCTGCTTCCATCTCATTAGCACGCTCCGACCACCAGGCTTCCCGGTCCTTACGCAAGCTTTGCCCGATTTCATTACGTAACAGCCTTCGTTTGTGGTCAAACTCACGGTCACCCGGAGTAGACCGACGGGCTTCCGTCAGTTGTAAGGAGCCAGAAGAAACCCAGTGCTTGTAAGCGGGACGTTTCGCGAAGCCGCAAGCGGCTTTACTCGCCATTTTGATGGTGTCGTGAAGATGCAAACAATGCTCATCTATACTTTTCGGTGGGATGGTAGCTGGCCTAGAGGCTAGCTCCGCTCGATACTTACTTAGTGCTAGCCAGAAACAGGTTGTGGTCTGTGCACAGTTGCAGCAAACGGTCCCCGTTATCTGTCCTGCGACCAACAAGTCCCCATCGGCCACCTAAACGACTCTCTTCTGTGCCTAGACGCCCGACCTGTGCATTCAAGTCTCCGGCTAATACTACAATATCTGTCGAACGCGCATTCTGGAGAAGAACTGTTAACTGGTGGTAAAACTCATCGTTGATTGCATCCGGGCTGCAATCTGTCGGGGCATAGGCGGAGATGACGAAAAGACACCGTTTCTCACACTGGTTTCTTCTCACTTTGATGGAACTTTCTAATCTAACAGCACATAACCGACTGTTAATGGGGATCCAATCGATTAGTGCTGCCTCAGCCCTAGCGCTTAGTGCAACACCAACGCCTGCAAGACCAGACGAAGATGCCACAGAGTCCCTGGATAAGCGCACGTGAAACAAGCTTTTCGAAGCGACAGATGGAGAGCGAATTTGTAGTACTTCACTAGAGTCTTGAATACGGGTCTCGGATAGACAGAAAACATCAACATTAAGACTTTCTAAAAACATAGCCAGTCCCATCTGTTGTCCGATCTGCACTAGTGTGCGAACGTTGAAGGAAGCCAGCTTGAACGGTGTACGTGGTTTCAGAAAGACTGCCTCAGTATTCGTAATCGGTGGAAGCATTCACTTTCAACCAGACAGTGACTGGAGATCGTTTAGATAGGACAGAGTTTCCACCATGGGCGAGCTACTGCATAAGTTGGAAAGAGAGGATACACAATTTGGGAATAAAGGGAGTGAAAAAGCGACGTAGTAATAATAGTAATAATAATAATAATAATAATGGTAATAATAATAATAATAGTGTAAATTGTCTTGCTTCTAGTATGAGCGGGAATAGTATCGTCAATAGAATTCATCATTTCATTTATAAAAATCCGTCCATCTCATTAAATCACTACCTCAGTTAAAGAGTTCTCCATCATTATGAAAATCTATATCTTCATCACAAAACACTTGATTAAGATTAACAAAGGAAACCAGGATTTTGTGAGTAGGACTTTTATTCAAACTCAATATCGTTTAACATTCGAAAAACACTACAGTTGATGAATTCAAATGCCGCACAGAGTTCGAAAGGTGAGGTTAGCACGAAAAAGATTACTAGGCATGTTTGCTTTCAGAAATATGCGTAAGGCGAAAATATACGATCGACGTACATTCAACAAAAAATACCATTCTTGGTCTTCCCCAAATTTCCCCTTAATCCCCCACTGAATTGTTGAACAACTGTGATATCTATGATTTTAGGAACTATGCTAATCAAATTATTTCTATTACGGTTACTGTGAACACACTTCTGTCTATTTCCACGAACTACCGCAATATATAAACCTTATTTTCTGCACTCAAGTAATACTAAAACCACTTAAAGTAATAACTCAGCAGTACGAAAGTTAGGAATTTCTGAATGTTACTTATCGATACTTGATTACTATGCTTCTATTACGTCTATTATAGAATTCTCATTAATTAATGGGTCGATCTTACTGTCTACTTTAAACGAAAGCTAGGGCCGTTGTGAACAGATAAAGCTTTGATAAATTGAGCTTTTGTATAAGACCACCGGTATATATATGTCCCTGGACTTACGTTGTAGCTGACTGACTGACTTGTCATCTTAACTATCAGATAATAGTATGTTTTATGAATCACCTGTATTAGTTTCTCATAGCCTCACTGATCATTTTCATTTTAAAACCAAACTCCTAAGGAAAATAAACAACTGATTAGGAGAAACTTATATTATGTGAATAGCTTCCTTTAGTTTCCTCACTTTCCCATCCACCCAAACACCATCTACTGTGTAAACGTTTTTGAGAACAGGTGTCATTACCAAGGTTTGACTTGATACTTTAAAACAAATACAGAATTGGGTAGATTGTTATTAATAAAGGTAATATATTTGTAACATTCCGATGAGTAGAAAAATTGAGTTTTTAAATTGTCTGATGTCTCGTGACTCAATGTAAGCCACTTCCTCAGAGAATAAATGAACAAATTAAATTAATCCAAGATTAAATAGTACAAAGGAACAAAGCAGAAATATTTGGTGCGGTCAATCAAAAACAGATATGAGGACAAAATATATTCCCCGCTGAAACCAAACATACTCCATCCCTCAACGCTACAAAAGTGCAATCACAATCAATCTCGATAACTATGAAACCTGTATCTCTTAAATATTACCGTTGAGTGCCGAACATCAAACAATTGGTCACAAAAATTCAAATACTCAGAAAATTAATTTGATTCTAATACATCCGGTCAAACAAATAAACAGAATTACATCTTACTTTATCATCTGAAGGACCATAACCATTTAAAACGTAGATGTACCGTCCATGTGCTACTGCTGAATGTCCAGTACGTGATAACGGATGTACATCGTCACCGACCCCATTCCAACTTCTACTGTATGAGTTACTATTCATTCTGAAAAGGATATTACGTTCAAGATTGCCTTTAAAAAAGGTGAATAATCGACTAAAACGTTTAGATTCCAGATATTTATTATCATTATTTATTATTATTATTATTTATTATTTATCATGCATAGAGAAATTATACCACCTGTATATATATATATATATATAACTCCGCCTGTAGCTCTTCTAGAGTTACTGCCGGTCTCAAGCCCGGGTAAAGGAGGAGGGTTGGGCATGGGGTTAGCGACCCCATCCCGTAGAAAAGCTAACTCGCTAAAAAAACGCTAACCAGAAAAAATAATTCAAACCATTTAAACTCTGCCCTGGGAGTTGAAGGAATAATGACGTCTCATGATGAAAGCCGAAATTCTTCGGAAGTCACGAGGCCGATGCACCTTCTAACAACCAGAGCAACACTCTTTATAGGTACATGGAACGTCCGGACAATGTGGGAGACAGGAAAGACCAGCCAAATAGCAATGGAAATGAGGAGATACAAATTGGCAGTACTCGGAATCAGCGAAACCCATTGGACACAAACTGGACAACAAAGGCTAGGTACAGGAGAGATGCTGCTGTACTCCGGTCACGAAGAGGAAAATGCTCCACACACTCAGGGAGTTGCTCTAATGCTGTCCAAAGAAGCACAAAATGCACTTGTGGGATGGGAATCTCATGGACCCAGGATAATCAAAGCATCATTCAGAACAAAGAAGCAAGGGATCACAATGAACGTTATCCAATGTTATGCACCCACCAATGATAGCAACGACGATGATAAAGATCAGTTCTATGAAAGGCTGCAATCAATTATAACAAAGTGCTCACGAAAGGACCTCACCATCCTTATGGGAGATCTAAATGCTAAAGTTGGAGTGGACAACACAGGATATGAAGATGTAATCGGACGACATGGACTAGGAGAAAGAAATGAAAATGGGGAGAGACTTGCAAACCTATGTGCTTTCAACAAATTGGTTATAGGCGGCACAATATTCCCACACAAACGCATACACAAAGCTACATGGATTTCACCGGACCACACCACAGAGAATCAGATCGATCACATCTGTATCAACAAAAAATTCCGAAGATCAATGGAAGATGTGAGAACCCGGAGAGGAGCTGACATAGCTTCAGATCACCACCTGGTTGTGGCCAAGATGAGACTGAAGCTAAAGAAAGACTGGACAACTGGACAAACAGCACTACAAAGGTTCAATACAGCCTTCCTTCGAGATACTGACAAGCTCCATGAATTCAAGATAACTCTCAACAACAGGTTCCAAGCTCTACAGGATCTACTGAAAGAACAAGAAACTACTTTGGAGGACAACTGGAAAGGGATAAAAGAAGCACTAACTTCAACGTGTCAGGAGGTTCTTGGTCCTAAGAAGCATCATCACAAGGAATGGATCTCTATGGGAACCCTGGACAAAATTCAAAAAAGGAAGAACAAGAAACTAGCAATTAACAGCAGCCGGACACGAGCAGAGAAAGTCAAAGCACAAGCAGACTACGCAGTAGCAAACAGGGAAGTGAAGAAAAGCATTAAAGCCGACAAGCAGAACTACATGGGAGAACTAGCAACGACGGCGGAAAAAGCTGCAAGGGAAGGAAATATGAAACAACTATATGATACAACGAAGAAATTGGCAGGGAGATATAGCAAACCAGAGAGACCAGTCAAAGACAAAGAAGGAAAAACAATCACTGAGATTCAAGAACAGAGGAAAAGATGGGCAGAATACTTCGAGGAACTGATGAATAGACCAGCCCCATTGAATCCACCGAACATCGAAGCAGCAAACACTGACCTTCCTATAGATGTCACTCCACCAACGATCAAAGAAGTCAAGATGGCCATCAGACAAATCAAAAGTGGGAAGGCGGCAGGACCTGACAATATACCAGCTGAAGCACTGAAGTCAGACATTGAAATAACTGCAAATATGCTTCACCTTCTATTCAAGAAGATTTGGGAAGAGGAACAAGTGCCAATGGACTGGAAAGAAGGATTTCTCATCAAGATACCAAAGAAAGGAGATCTGAGCCTATGTGAGAACTACAGAGGTATCAGTTTGTTATCAGTACCAGGAAAAGTTTTCAACAGAGTGCTGCTGAATCGGATGAAAGATGCAGTAGACGCCGAACTGAGGGATCATCAGGCTGGATTCCGTAAGGATCGGTCGTGCACAGACCAGATTGCGACACTACGGATCATCGTTGAACAATCAGTTGAGTGGAACTCATCACTATACGTCAACTTCATCGATTATGAGAAGGCGTTTGACAGCGTGGACAGAACATTATGGAAACTTCTTCGACACTATGGAGTTCCTCAGAAGATCGTCAACATTATCCAAAACTCATACGATGGACTACAGTGCAAAGTGGTGCATGGAGGACAGCTGACAGATGCATTTCCAGTAAGGACCGGAGTCAGACAAGGCTGTCTACTCTCCCCATTCCTCTTCCTTCTAGTGATTGACTGGATTATGAAGAATTCGACATCTGAAGGGAAATACGGAATACAATGGACCTCTCAGAATCAATTAGATGATTTGGACTTCGCAGATGACCTAGCCCTCCTCTCTCATACACACGACCAAATGCAGATGAAGACAGCAAATGTAGCAGCAGCCTCTGCATCGATAGGCCTCCACATTCACAAAGGAAAGAGCAAGATTCTCAAATGCAACACAGAGAACACCAACCCAATCACACTTGATGGCGAAACTCTGGAAGAGGTGGAAACATTCAAGTACCTGGGGAGCATCGTTGATAAACAAGGGGGATCGGATGCAGATGTAAAGGCGAGGATTGGCAAAGCAAGGGCAGCATTTCTACAATTGAAGAACATATGGAACTCAAAACAACTCTCAACCAATTTCAAGGTCAGAATCTTTAATACGAACGTCAAGACAGTCCTACTGTATGGAGCTGAAACGTGGAGAACTACTACGACCATCATCAGGAAGGTACAAGTACTTATAAACAGTTGTCTACGCAAAATACTCAACATCCACTGGCCGGATACTATCAGCAACAGCGTTTTATGGGAGAGGACAAACCAGCTTCCAGCTGAAGAGGAAATTAGGAAAAGACGTTGGAAGTGGATCGGACATACATTGAGGAAATCACTAATGTGCATCACGACTCAATCCCTAACTTGGAATCCTGAAGGGAAGCGGAAAAGAGGAAGGCCAAAGAACACACTACGCCGAGAAATAGAAGCCGATATGAAAAGGATGAATAGCAACTGGAAAGAACTGGAAAGGAAGGCTCAGGACAGAGTTGGATGGAGAATGCTGGTGAGCGGCCTATGCTCCTCCACAAGGGGTAACAGGCGTAAGTAAAAGTAAAGTAATATATATGTATGTAAACAGATTACTTTGAGTGCCAAAGCATGTGATCCACAAGTATTATTACATGCATTGAGTGAAATAATTATACCTCCCAACTCTGAATTTTAATGATTTTTCTTTAAGACATACACACGCCATCCGTTTTATGACTATCTCAGTAAAAGCCACTCCAATTCATTTAGATACATGACATTTCTAACTAACTTCACTTCTCGAAAGCAGGACGTCTAACTTCGAATTGTTTCATGTTTCGTCTTACTATACTAGTTATCTATCATATGTAACTTTTAGAATTATTTATTCCCTTAACATTTCCAAAAGAATATAGACTCTAAATTGAGTCACGAGACACTCAGTCAACTAAAACGTAGGACCAGAAACACATATGCATCGGTCCAAGTTGCCACACCTCTCTACAGTTAATAGTACGACGTCACCTTCGAACCTTGGGTTTGCTGCTTTTAGTCCGACTTGTCTACCACGATAGGACCTTGAGGAGCGATTGTTCCAGCCAATATAGCTCGATTGGTTCATTATGATAGACAAGCTCGACCACCATTTCAAGGTAGCAGTAACGGTCACGAGACACTAGTTGAACTTAAGTTTGGATTGTGTTCATTAGCAAGGAGTCGACGAATGTATGGCTAAGATAAATGGAACAGTCTAATTGTTTAACTAAACAGTAAGTTTGTGGTTGATACATTCAACTTTTAGTCACTAAGTAGTAGGTTCCAGTTCCAATCTATCGAGTCAGATTTCAGCAATCTGATTTCATCCCTACCATTTTAACTTGAAGTGTGGATTGAGTCAAGTATACGAATGTGTAAACTGGCGGTTTATTAGTTAAAACATTCAACTTCCAGACACTAAGCCCTGGGTTTGAGCCCCGATTCAGCTTTTTGTTTAAAGCGGACGGGTAGCATCAAAAACCTTAATGGTTAGAGTGAAGCTCATATCCAAGTGCCTGAAAAATGAGTTGATTTAATCTAGTTAAATAGGAAGTATTTACCAGATGAATGAGTTATAATAACTTGTAGTGAAAAAAAGAATACAATATCAAATTATTCACATAGTCTTATAGTTTGCATGGTTTATGATGCACATGAAAAATTACAACCTACTTGATCTATCGAGTAAGACTGATACGAACCCATTAGCCAAGACTGAAAATTTCTATTGAATTGTTTTAAAAATATTCACTATACCTAAACACCACCTTACATAATGGATAACATTATTCAGAGTAGCGGCATCTAGACACAGTCTAAGTGGTTAAATGAAAACTCTAGGTGATATTACTGAATGGAAAATAATCGAAGTGGCCAATTTAGTTGTTGCCTTTGCAGTTTCAGGGCCCAATGACAGAATTATTTGTGCCACTTCATACTTGATTTACAGCTAAATTCATACTAAGCTTTATTTATTTATTCAAACACATAAATATTGGTACAAGGAAGCACCAGACATATATGCGCCACACAAATCTCATTCGATTTGTGTGAGGGCTGTGATACTGCCCAGGTGCCCAAACTGAAACAAGTGGTTTTCTTAGGGGACCACACCCGGAGCCTTTGACCCAAAGGTCTGATCTACAAGGCAGTGGAGCATCGTGAGGAGATACAGTCCCATGGTAGCCGGTGATCAACGGTTGATTCGTACGCCATTTGTTCCCTCAGGATACTGGAGCCCATGTGCACCACTGGTTTTGAATCAGGGTTTTCCAACTCCCCTAGGTGAACTTTTCGTGTCCACCAACCCAGTTAAAGCGTCGGACATTCACTTTTCGTCCTCTCAATTTCGTAAACAACACCCCCGTCACGAGAAGGCAGTGAGTAGGACTTTCCTGGCAGAGGCTATATATTCGCTGGCCATATGAGAGCATTTCGAGAGGGAGAGCAGACTCTCTCCACTCTCGACCGTACCAGGGCATTTGGGAGCATACTAAGCTTTGCATTTGAGTTGATGGTAATGCTTACATTTCCGTTTTAATCTTATTAAACAATTCTTCTGTTTCGTTAATGTGAATCGGGGGCATGAAATGACGTACATTTGTGTCAAAACACAAATTACTGACTACTTCCCCCAAATGCCCTGGTACGGCCAGGAGTGGGGAGAGTCTGCTCCCCATCTTGAAATGCTCTCATATGACCACGCCCATACAGCCACTTCCACGGAAGTCCTACACACTGCCTTCTTAAAGCAGGGGTGTTATTTACGAAATTGAGAGGACGAAAAGCGAATGTCCGACGCTTTAACCGGGTTTGGAGGACACGGCGAGTTCACCTAGGTGATTTGGAAAACTCTGATTCCAAACCAATGGTGTACATGGGCTCCAGGATCCTGAGGGAACAAATGGCGTATGAATCAATCGTAGGTCACCGGCTACCATGGGACTGCATCTCCTCACGATGCTCCACTGCCTTGTAGATCAGACCTTTGGGTCAAAGGCTCTGGATGTGGCCCCCTAAGAAAAACACCTGCTTCGGTCTGAGCACGCGGGCAGTAACACAGCCCACACACAAATCAAGTGACTTGTGTGGTGCATATGTATTCGGTGCCCTCTTGTACCAATATTTGTGTTCAAATAATAAATACAATAATTATCTCCATGATTGATATCAAACATTATTCTAAAATCTAAAAACCAAGATAAACTGTGGGAGGGGATTTTTAACGCTAAATAACTAATTGTCTTTTGTCAGCAAGTAGTATTGAAGGCATAAATATGACATTCAGAATGGAACAAGTTGAGCACACTGAGATAGTTATTACAGGTATAGTGGAATGGGGGAAAACTGAACAATTAAAACTAGGGACTGACAGCGTGAGGTTCTAAATGTGTCGCAATATATAAATATATGTACATGGCATGTACAAACAATACTTACTGCAGTAAGTGAGAATGTGTATTATAGTGTATCTTATAGAATACATAAACTGAACCCACACTATTTCGGGTTTAACTCACATGATAACATACATAAAAATATTTGATGGTCATAATCACTCCATTCTATACACATTTGAATCATAGAAAGCGATTGGTACCGCTCATCTGGATTTCCCCGGAGAGGTCAGTATGTCCAATATCCATGTCATCAGACAGTCTTCAATATTACGGTTTAGGAGGTATATTGACCTATATAATTTCCTGCAATTTTTAGCACCATGAGGTTCAATTTCTTTCTGGATATGTCAATGGAATATAGTGATATCACGTGTTCTGTTAGATAATTCTCAGTCCGTCAGTCAGCTACAACGTGGGACCGGACACACATATACATCGGTCCAAGTTGCCATGCGTCATTACACAACAAGATGAACACCGAATTCATAGAAGTAGTTAATTTAATGGTGGTAATATGTGAAAGAGATTGTATATAAGGATGTAGTACAAGAAGAAAGAAAGATATGAAACAATTTTAATCTCAAGGTTTAAGGGAAGACAAAGAGCGTATACACCTACTTCGCTGTGACCAATTCTGAGCCATGTCACACAGAGTCTCCAACCATTGCTTACAATGTTCACACGGACCCCAACAAGGTAGTCTATGTAGCTGTAAATAATTCCCCAAAATCAATAGTTCATTAAGTGTTCGACATTGGATGCTGACCACGTGTTTAAGTGAACTTGTTTAGCTGAAGGCTTTCGGTCATGCATCCGCACCAGATCACGTTTCGACTCGGCGTGGGACACTGCTCCTACGTTTCATTAGCCAGCTCATAGAAAAGGTCCTCGATATATTGGCAACGAATCAAATATATCTTTCCTGCCTCTTCTCGTCTGACTTCCGATTTCTATCTGACTGGGAACAATCGAATTTAGAAGGTGCTACTGGTATCTAGTTGTAAAACTAGAATATCCGTTGCATCATCATCTGCATCTACTAACATGGCTGATGCTACATTTTTGCTTAGCCTCCACTAACTTTCATCCAACAGTCCCCAACGTTAGTCGGCACTGTGTGTGCCGTGGTAATCGGTGTTCAGGCATACGTAACACGTAGCCCAACCATCTCAGTCTATGAGGATTCACAACCTCAATAACTGATTTATCATCATTCCCTATGTCTAACCGTACCATTACTTACCCTGTTATCCCAGCAGATGCGAGCAATATTTCTAAAACATCTGTGGTCAAATACTAGTAACTTACAAGTATCTTCTACCCATACTGGCCACGTTTCGCAGCCGTAAAGTAAAACAGAGTGAACTGCTGAGCAGTATACTCGTCCTTTTATTAATAGATGGGTATCCCACCTTCGCCATATGTGACTTAAGTTAGCAAAAGCCAAACGAGCTTTTTGAATCAGTTTCAAAGATTTCGTCAGACACCAACCTATTAGGGCTCATCAGACTTCCAAGGTAAGTGAAGTTGTCGACGCGTTCGACTACTTCACTCCTTATCTTTAGTTCAAGTATTGACGCAGGCCAGTCCTGAGACAACAACTCTCATCTAGAGTGGGAGAAACGCATCCCAAACATTCTTGTATTTTTACTCAGTGCTACTAAGAGCCTCTGTATTTTATCATGTACGATGAAATTAAACAGAAATGGAGATAGTGAATAGCCTTTTCGGATACCACTTGAGGTTGTAAAATCATATGACAGTTAGACATAAGCTCCGACTACATTGGTAGTGTTTGAGTAAAGAGCCTTCACAAGGTTGATGTACTTCTGAGGTACACCTTCCAATGACAAACATTACCACAGAACCTCTCGATCTACAGAGTCAAGCGCTGCCTTCAAGTAAAAAAAAACTATCATTGTCTGACGCCGATGAGCATGTCCGTGTTCTAAAACATGACGAATAGTGAATATGTGGTCTATACAGCCATGACCAGGTCTAAAGCCAGTCTGATGTTCTCGTGTTTGCAGTTCACGAGTCTTTGTTAAGCGTCCGACAATTATCTGTGTTTAACTCCATGATTCATTTATTACCTCTAAAATTATGACACAATTTATCTTATCTGTCTCTGAACCCCACTCAACTATTACACTACCCATCGTTAATGTTTTCTTGGTTCTACCACCTAATAACCTCTGACCTGTTCTTGCATATATATTTTTATATATAGTTATCAGTGATAACCTTTTGTCATTACAATCCTTTACATTCACTTATGTCAGTTGTTCCGTACCATTTATTATGCTAACACTCTAATACATAATTGGTTGTAAAGAGCTGACGAAAAACCACGAAATATAATGAATTCACATTATTCTGCATCTAATCGCTAAAATAGAACCACCGTCGTTAAAGACCTCTTTTATGAATCCGTATGGACCAGCTGTTCTTCCTCGTTTCAGATTAGCAATAACCTTTTAAACTTCAGCTAGAGTCGGGACCCTATATCAATATTCCATTCGGACTGCCTGGGAATGGTGGTAACTGTACAGTAGATGAGGGCCAGCCAAACTGTTCTGCAAAGTATCCCGCCCATCGTTATAAACGCCTGGGCTGAGAGCAGATAAAAGTTTCATCTTCTTTTCAGATTGTCTCACCTACACCTAACTTCTTAGTCTCAGTTTCTTTTATTAGTCTGAAAAGTTGACTTGTGTTACCTACAACCGCTGTCTCTTCCATCTCTTTTTCTATCGTTGCCCACCACTGCTCACGATCGTTCCTTAGACTTTTGATTAACCTATGTATGATTAGTTTACCCTCTTTATCATGTTCAGAGCCTGACGGGATGAGTTTACGAGAATCCATCAGTGAAATAGATTTAGAAGAAATCCATTGATTTTCCGTGACCCTGTGGTTCAAATCACAATTATATGTTACTGCTGCTTCCAAAGCTGTTCGTTTATCTTTCCAAGCAGCATCTGGGTCAGCCTCGTTTACAAAACCATCTAAATAGGATCTCGGTTGTTCCTGCCTTCCCTATGGGAAGGCAGCATCGCTATTATGCTTGTTGTCTGACGGAAACATCTTACTGCCGTCACACTTCTGTACAGTTAGTAGAACGACGTCACCTTCGAACCTTGGGTTTGCTGCTTTTAGTCCGACTTGTCTACCACGATAGGACCTTGAGGAGCGATTGTTCCAGCCAATATAGCTCGATTGGTTCATTATGATAGACAAGCTCGACCACCATTTCAAGGTAGCAGTAACGGTCACGAGACACTAGTTGAACTTAAGTTTGGATTGTGTTCATTAGCAAGGAGTCGACGAATGTATGGCTAAGATAAATGGAACAGTCTAATTGTTTAACTAAACAGTAAGTTTGTGGTTGATACATTAACCTTTAGTCACTATGTTAGGATATTCACAGGAATATCCCAAAAATTATCTCGAATGTAAATTGGCATGTTTTCAGTCTCTTCATACATTTTACATGTTATTTCCTATTGGCCATTATTACAGTTGTCCTAACTATGACTTTCATGTGTCGTTTCCCTATTGGTCAATTTTGAGTTGCCCTAATTATAACCTTTACGTGTCCTTCCTTTCCATTGGTTACTGTGAATAGTCATCGTAACTGTATAAATATGCCTTTTCTGTAAGCCATTTTTGTTCTGCTGCTGACCCCATAAACAATTCTCATTTAACGGCTGTGTTCTGATTTATTGGAGTTGGGGAACAGTATTGGGGTCGAACTAGGATATCTGAATTTGGTCGACCGGTAGAATTTCGTGTAGTCCTATCGCAATACGCTATATTTCGCGACGTAACAATTTGGCGACGGAGATTTTGCAAGGAAGTTGCTGACTAGCTATGGATCCGGTTAAATTAGAAGAATTGTTCAAGCAACAGCTGAAGCTGATGGAGATGTTTACTCAGACTCAGATCTCTTCTCGAGTCTCATGTACACCAACAATCCCTCAATCAGTCGACGGTACTACCAGTGGTATTTCAGAGTTTCTTTATGATCCTGATGCCAATATTACATTTGATACCTGGTTCAGACGTTATGAAGATCTTTTTAAAGTCGACCTTGCTGACAGAGATGATTCGTGGAAGGTGCGTCTTCTCCTTCGAAAACTTGGTCCATCAGAGCTTGATAAGTATTGCAACTTCATTCTACCGCAGAACCCACGAGACCGTTCCTTCGATGCCACTGTTCAAACTCTCAGCCAACTTTTTGGTGACCATCATTCACTTTTCAATACTCGCTATCGCTGTTTAAAACTGATCATGAACGAGTCCGATGACTTCCTAACCCATCTTGGCATTGTCAACCGTGAGTGCGAACGGTTTAAGCTCAAATCCCTTACCGACGACTAATTCAAATCCCTCGTATTCATATGTAGTCTTCAATCACCCAAATTCTCCAACATCAGAACTCGATTGCTGAACCGCCTTTAACAAGACCCAACGCTAACACTCAATGCAATCACCGACGAGTATCAACGCATTGTCAACCTGCAGCGTGACACCACTTTGGTCCAATCTGGGGGCCAGGGTGGTTTCGAAGTTCACGCTGTCCAACGTCAGAACAAATCTCCGAGATCAACAACTTGTGGTCCTACGAAAGCTGTTATGTTTTTGACCTCGACTGTAGCCAATTGTTATGACTTGATCAAGGTCGTCGCTGATTCGTTATGACCTTACGAATTTAACAAGGACGTAATCCGCGTAAATTATCCACCAATAGAATACGCCTTCTACGACCTTCACACTTTGACAATGACGTTCGATTAATATGAGTAATCTAGCGTCCTTATTGGTCCTTATCCACCTAACCCGTCCACTTGAGTCCAAAACACCAATAGCAGCTTCGGCAATACGAATCGTTTATTTCAAACATACTTTATCTATATACCAGACAGGCAGACCACACCACACCATAAAATAGAAAATAATATTTGTACAAAACCAGGCCAAATGAGGCTGTAAGCGTGGGAGACAATAATCAATAAAACTGAGTATAACTTAGGAACAGAAAATCATATAGTAATAATCAATAGGTCAAAATAAAGCTTAGATAATCTAGTTACCGAATAGTCATACAATAAGAATGATAGTCCAATAGTAGGTC